AGATCATCGTCACCTGCTCCATAGTTGCTGACTGATTTTGAGATTGCAGTGTGAGACAACAATTGGCTCCACACTAATGTCTGCATGAGTATCAGTGACGTTGCTCGGGACAGGGGCAGTTCTCGCTTGATTTGTTTTCCATCACTTCAACAGTCATTGACAAACCACGAACTTCCTCAATCTGGATCAGGGGTGGAGATATCCGATCAAAGCCAGCAAGCAACTTTGGGGGCAGAATTTTATGGCTTCCTTGAATGCCCAATGCAACCTTGTAAGGAGCAAGGGGAATTGTTTTGTAAATCATTGAAAGAACATTCAAGGCAGAATTGCACCTGTAGTCTCCTGGAGATACAATTTTGCAGGTGCTACCTAGGCAAGTACGATTGAATAGAGTATTTATGCACTATCGTATGTCCCAATGCCTCAATCAGTTGCTGGCAATCTCCAGTTCTTCTGCAGTCTGTGGAATATCAATTCATGCGAAATGCTGATCCCCATTGTTATACAACACAGCCTTACGTTGCCCTTCAGTGCTCATAGGGTGACATTTGGTCTCCTCGATGCGCGGATCAGCCAAAACCGCTTCACAGTCGACTCGTCCTCGGCGCTGCTCTACACGAAACGCATTGGCAAATTCAAATCGACTGGGCGCCAGCCAGAGGCTTCTGAATAGTGGCCCAGGAATTGACGTGCTTCTTTTCCATCCGCAAAACGGTCTTCGATGACCGGCAAGCATTCAGCAAGTGGCCTGCCCGCTGAGCGACATGCTTCCTCTCCACCACGGAGAGCACAACATTTGCAAACGTTCGCAACGGAGAACGCAACATTCGTGGCCAAATGCACCTGCACTGGGTACGTGGCCACCCGCGACCTCCTGGACGCGCACGCCACGGCGTTGGCCCTCTCGTCCTCCGCCTGGGGCACGTTCACGCAATCCCCCTCGCCGTTGAACCGCCACCCGTGGTAGCTGCACATCAGGCTGCCATCCTTGGGCTCGATCCGCCCCTGACTGAGCGGCGCCAGCCGGTGCGGGCAGGCGTCCTCGCAGGCCCGCCACTGGCCGCCGCCGTCTCGCCAGACGACGATCCTCCGGCCCAGCAGCGTGAACGGCACCGGCCTGGAGGGATCGAGGTCCGCCTCCGGAAACACGGGGTACCACTGGCGCACCCAGTCGAATGGGGACGCGTCCGATTTGGCATCAGCCTGAGATTGCGCAGGCGAGGGCGCCTGACGGGCGGGCGGTGCCGCGGCCCGGAGCTTTCCGGCGTCGCGCCTTGCGACCTGGTCTGAGGAACGGATGCCGCCATTGGTTTTGCAGGGTTGGGGGATTGGGGACGGATGCGGGATGGGCGGGGGGCGCGATCGGAGGGCGGGGGTTGGCCGGAGGAGCGGGAGGCCGAGAGGCGCGGGGAGGCGCGCGGCGCCGACTGGCCCCGGGGGACCGCCGGAGGGGGGAACACGGCGCATGGCGGGGCGCCCGTGAGAGGCAACTGTGCGTGGCAATGGAGTGGTGCAAAAGGCGAAGGGGCCTGTGGCGATGATGTAGCCGCAGTCCGCAAATGTGTGGAAGGTGATGTGTTCGAGGAAGGCAGGCAGGTTCGAGGGGTGGCGATACCGTAGTGGTACGCTCGAGTCCACGGCAAAGGTTTACAGCCGAGGCGAAGGGACAACAGAGGATGTCCCCACGGAAATTTTGGGGCTAGTACATTAGCGCAATACTTCAGAAGAGCGGCAATCAGCCGCTACCCGCCCACCACGGGAGCGGGAATCCGCCCTCGTGTGCCCTGGCGCGGGGGCGGGACATGCGGCCCTGGGCGTCCGGGCTGATGAGAGTCAACCACAGCCACATGTCCCACCCCCTCAGCGATGTCCCGTTTCTGGCGCCTGCCACCGTCCAGCGCCGAGCCGGCAAGTCGCAGCACTGCGACACGCGCCTCGTCGAGGCGAGGGTGGCGGGACCGGACAAAGCGCGCGGAAGGTCCCGCAGATGTGGGCGCAAAAGGCGCCAAACCCGACTCACGAAAGCGCCCGCGACTTGGTCAACCTAGCGTGCACGGATTGGAAGAAGAAGCGGCGAGATGTGCAGGCGTAAGCCCTCCCCACGAAGCAATTCAGGACGTCGACGAGGAAGACAATGCAAGTGGCGCTTGGGATCCACCTCCCATGTCGCAACTGCAGTTCGAATTTGAAGCGACAGGCTACGACAGGCCGCTTTGTACATTACCTGATGGCAACGCCAAGCGGCTTGCAAAGGAGATTGGCGATGAAGTGGTTGCCCAGTACCTGGCAACGTATTGAATTAGCGGCTGCTGGCAACGTCGATGGGTCGGCAATGCCGCTTCCGCCCACCAACCCGCCAGCCTATGGGGTCATGGGAAATGGCGGCAAGGTGATTCTGGCAACCAGCAAAGAGAACATGGCTACCTCTCAGCAAATGTTGGCTGATCATTTCGAGCGGCTGGCTGGCATTCAGTTCGCAAAAGGGGCCAGAGAAAAGAATGATCGGATGCTTGAGAGGTACTGTGCATTTTGAGGAGCAACGCGACAAGATTCAAGATTTGCAGTCGAAATTGGGACGGATGTTCGGCACGGTGGGGCGAGAAGTGCAGTCAGAAGCTTGCCAGCTTGTGATGGAACCCGAGAAGTTGGCTTATCGGCTGAGCGCATTGATCACGACGCTACGCTCACGTGACGGCACAAGAGTGTTGAATTCTAGTTGACAACCTTTGGTGAAGGGCTTTAATCGGCGTTGGGCAAGTCTTTCCATCAGGGAGCGTGTTGATGACGTGCAATCTCAGCCCCGCAGTATCCTTTTGGAGGCGACTAAGCCCTTCCTTTAGATTTGCGGATTTTCGTGACACCGAGTGTTTCTCTTTGCGACAGTGGACTGTTCGTTTTACGACAGCCTTTATGGCTAATGTGTGGCTGGGGAAGCTGGTGCGGGGTTTGAATTGGTCCGCCCACCCACCACCCTCCTCCACCACCCACCGGCGCTATTGCTCACGGCTCGAGGGCTTGTCCCACATCTTTGAACGTCACGGGCGAAGCGCTTGCTTGTTCGGGGCGCGGGTGGAACACAAGCCGTCTCACCTCCTTGGCCGTTTGGCTGCATTTCGGCGGGCTAGAAAGTCCCGTGCCTCCCCGCACCCCACATGCCCACCCACCCACAACATACAGCGCCGCGCGCCTCCAAGGCATCAAGCCTAATCGCGCCTCACCTGGCCAGGAGATCTCCACCTGGGCTTGCTGAATCCCTTTTTCATTTATATTCGCCTTCGAACGGCCCAGCGCTGCCCTTGCATCTGGACTTGCGGGGCCATCGAGATCGCCCAGCAAAACCTTGACCGCAAATGTGGGGGAATACGAGGTTCCAACTTCCACGAATTCCACCGAATCTCATCGCCGAATTGGGTGTCGAATGGCCCCGGCAGACACTTGTTGGTAAGGTGGGGACCCTGGGCGTCCCCAAGCGCTCCTGTTTTCGCCTTCTCCTAGAAGAGCACCGCCAGCGACGTTGGAAGGGCAAGTCCCCAGCTTCGCGCTGGGTTGGCTGCCAAGCCGGATGCCATCGTGCCTCGAATTGATTACCGCCAGTGACTCAAAAAGAAACATATTGCAAAAAGGAACAATTTCACTAGCGCAGGAAAAATAGTGACCTTTCGCCAGTTTCCAACCAAGTTTTCGAAGTTGACGAGTTGCCAAATATGTACAAATTTCTTAACGCTATTGCTTATTTGTCATGTCGTATATATTGGCGACCCGAACACAAGCAAAGCATGCGAGCAAAGCAAGTCACGGTGCTGTGAAACGACGTGTGTTCAACGTTCAAATGCTCTCCCGGGCGGCTGCTAACCCAGTCGCGTTTGGAGCCAGCCAGGAAGCCATATTTGGGCTCCGCAGTGTTTTCTAACATCGCTACATTTTCCAGACTCGTCATCCCGAAGATTAACCCCGTACTGAAATGTTAACCAGAGAAGCATTAAAGAAGTGGTTTCAATATCAACAGCAATCATTCATATCGGCACAATGGCATGGTGTGTGAGGTGACAACCAAAGACGCCCACACTCAGCTGCTCCCAGGCACAGGGCGCCAAGCCGTAGCCAGATGTATTGCAGGACAAGCACATCAATCATATAGCACTCGCTGCGAATGTTCTTAATTGGCAGCCGCCGTATCTCCATATACTCATTTCACCACATTTGGCACCACGTTCACATTGTCCCGTCACAATATATCTGATTCCAGTTTCTTTACAGTTACTGGTTTATTTTCCTCGCCCTCAAAGTGCCTATGTTCCGGCTCTCATTCCTGGATTTTTGGCTTGAGAAAATGCCACCATTTGTGAATTTATTTGTACATCCCTCGAATACGATACCAGTTAAATTGTTTAATCTATCCCAAAATAGTGCAAGACCAGAATCGGTGATACTTCAAGTCAATAAGAACATCGATCCTGTTGCTCAGTACGTAATCCCAGATTTCTGTGGAAATTTCAAACTGCAGCACTAAACTTCGCAAGATGAGGGATTGCTGTTAAGGCACAGAAAGATGGAGGGGAGAACGTGAACCGCAACTTAAAATTTCGCCAAGATGCCTGCGACAAAACCTTCAACAACATACACACATCCACCACATTCTTTCTCTTACTGTGCCTTTTTCATCTGAGTACACTGCAGAGCCGTTGTCATTGCAGTGCATAGAATACGCATCCAATATTAAACAACAGGCACAACAGTCCTCAAAAAGTACACAGGACCCATCTTCCTACAACCCTCGCCGCTGCCTCGCCAGGAATGGAGATTCCAGCATCCGCATAGCATCCATGAACTTCGTCCGCAAGCGACCAGACAACGAACGCATATCCATTACCATCAATACCTCCAGCAAAAGACCACTGATTGGGTCCCATTTGCAAGCCCCTTGACAAGCGCAGCCCTTCCGCCAGTAGGGACACAGGCCCATCAACATTGCTTGCTCCAGAACGTTACTTTGTGCCCAGCTAGCTGCTGTGATGCTCATAAGGCACGAACCTCAGCCTCCTCTGTATCTCAGTGAGCAGTTTTATTGCAACCACGCAGATGACGGTACACAGGACAAGGGGCCAGCCTTTGGACAGCACAGCCACTCCAGATTCGGCCCTCAACGCCAGGGAGAGAAACGTGGCTGCCAGAGTGACCGTGGCCCACTGTGCGACAGGTTTTAGCGACTCCACAACACGGAGAGCACCACTGCAGGCATGGCAGTGCTTGGTATGCTGTTCGTACCTGTGTGTGCAATGCAAGGGCACCATCAACTTCTGATCCAGGGAAATGCAAAGTAACAAAGGTCAAGACAATCCATGAAACCTTTCAGCCTCTTGAAGGCTGCTTCAACATGCACAGGAAACCCATTCTTGCTACTTCTGCAGATGATCTATCTTCAAGAGGAACAATCACATTTGATGCCCATCGCACTGAGACTGATCTATCGGTCTCTCTTTTTCTGAAAAAAAAACACATGATCGTGTGCAAACTGACAGCCGAACTGCTGCCTAACCATGCATTGTTGTTGGCAACACACCTGTCCAGAATGACCTCCTCCCTGGTCTCCTCCGGGCCATCAGACAGCAGCTCCCCCCCTGGGCCCCTGGGTCCACCCCCACCCCTTGCGGGGTCATGGTACCACTCCAGCAAGTCGACGACGGCACCATCCGCCCCAGCAGCCAGGTAGAACATGTCCTGGTGTTTAAGTTTCCCTCGGACATTTCGCAACCGCTCCATCGTGTGGCCCTGGTTGTGCAGCAGGATCATGTCCCCATCTAACACCTTGTTGCTCCCCATGTGGAGGAGCCACTTGGGCGGTTTGACCTTGTTGAGGAGCTTAGCCAGCCTCCTCAGCATGTTGCCCCCTGGCTTCGTGTCACGTCTGATCATGAATTGAGAGAGGATGCGACACTTGCCCACAGATGTGGGGGTGCAGTAGAAGGTGCTCAGGAATGTTGGCAAGCCCCCTGCCTCCCCGGGTGGCATAGAATGGTAGTCGACGGCTGAGGGAAAGATGAACTCCAGATTGCGTTTCCGTGGAGGGCCCTTGCGTTTCCCACTTCCTGCTGGCACTCCCAACGTCTGGATATCAAACTTCAGCAAACTTGGGTCCTGTCCATCTTCAGTGTTCAGCCGTGTTATTCTCAGGGGCCTTGCCGCATCTCGGCTGCCTTGCACACCGTGGTGGGCGAAGGGCACATGTGAAGGGTCCATGACGTTTTCCACAAGCAGGTTGTGGCCATACATCAGGTCGCGGGCCATCACTGGGAACAATGGCACATACTCATCAGTGTGTTCCTCCAGAAAGCTGGGGATCCTGGGCCCACGAACTGCACTGTCGATGAATGCCGTGGGGCCACTGTCAGCCCAAACCCACAGCATGCCCACCTTGATCTGCAAGGCAAATGTCAACAGCTCAGTCAGCAATCCTTCGTTTGCAGCAGCAGGTGCCAATGCTCCAAAAGTCAGTGCCCTATGCAAGAGACTGCCAGACACATGGTCACATCTTTTGATAGTTGGTGGCAGTGCCATCCACCTCCACAGTCATGCAGAACTGCAGTGTCAATGAAGATGCTGGTGGCTGTCACTGTTGAAACACATGTGTCTGTTGTTCTTTGCCCTTGGTCAAATCTGGGATTCTCTCACGTGGTTTCAGGCGTGGGGTGGATGCACTGAATGCACTTGTAAGCAAATTCTGCCTGCCATTCCTGTGGCACTTGCAGAAGGTTTTAATTGCATTCACAACAGAATCTCCGAACGTCCTTACCAGGATGTTCTTGACTTTTGTCGAGCCAATGTGATATGGTGAACATCCATGTTCAAATCCAAAGAACGAAAGTGAAAACACAAAATACGTTCGTTTAATGGTTGGGGGCCATTGTAAGACTCACCCAGACCATCGTCACCTCCACCCTTGTTGCTGACTAACTGCAGTGTGAGGCAACAATTGGGTCAGCTTTAATGTTTGAACGAGTATCAGTGACTTTGCTCAGGGCAGGGTCAGTTGTTGCATGACTTGTTTACCATCTCATTGACAGTCACTGACAAACCTGAAATTTCCTCAGTCTGGATCACGGGCGGAGATGGCCAGTCAAAGCCAGCAAGCAGCTTTTGGGACAGAGTTCTATTGTTGCCTTGAATGGCCCTTGTCATTTTGAGAGGAGCGAGGGGAATTGTTTTGTAGATCATTCAAGGAATATTTTAGGCAGAATGGCACCTGCAGTTGCCAGGAGATGCAATTTGGCAGATGTTGCCTAGCAAATACGATAGATCAGAGCATTTGCGGGCCACTCAAAATCCCAAAGCCTCCATCAGCTGCTGGCAATCTCCAGTGCTTTCCCAGTCTAAAATCTCACTTCATGCAAAATGCTAATCCACAATTTTATACAACACAAACTATTTATACATGCTGGCCTTCAGTGCCCACAAGGCGGCATTGTTCTTCTCGAAATGCTGATCAACCAAACCCACTTCGGGTTCGATTCGCCCTCGGCGCTGCTCTACGCGAAACGCAAAGGCAAATTCAAATCGACTGGGGCGCCAGTCATACATATCGCATTCTCGAACAAATCCTACTCATTCGGTAGTGGCCCAGGAGTTGACTTCGTTCTTTTCCATCCGCACAGCCGTCTTCGATGACCGGCAAGCATTCAGCAAGTGGCGTGCCCACTGAGCGACATGCTTCCTCTCCTCCACGGAGAGAACAACATTTGCAAACGTTCGCAACGGAGAACGCAACATTCGTGGCCAAATGCACCTGCACCGGGTACGTGGCCACCCGCGACCTCCTGGACGCGCACGCCACGGCGTTGGCCCTCTCGTCCTCCGCCTGGGGCACGTTCACGCAATCCCCCCCGCCATTGAACCGCCACCCGTGATAGCTGCACATCAGGCTGCCATCCTTGGGCTCGATCCGCCCCTGACTGAGCGGCGCCAGCCGGTGCGGGCAGGCGTCCTCGCAGGCCCGCCACTGGCCGCCGCCGTCTCGCCAGACGACGATCCTCCGGCCCAGCAGCGTGAACGGCACCGGCCTGGAGGGATCGAGGTCCGCCTCCGGAAACACGGGATACCACTGGCGCACCCAGTCGAATGGGGACGCGTCCGATTTGGCATCAGCCTGAGATTGCGCAGGCGAGGGCGCCTGACGTGCGGGCGGAGCTGCGGCCTGTAGCCTTCCGCCGTTGCGCCCCGCGATCGCGCCCGAGGAACGGATGCCAACGATCTTGGCGGGATGGGAGCTTGGGGATGAATGGGGGATGGGCGGGGGGCGCGATCGGTGGGCGGGGATCGGCCGGAGGTGCGGGAGGCCGAGGGGGGAGGGGAGGCGCGCGGCGCTGGCTGGTCCCGGGGGAGCGCTGGAGGGACGCATGGTGGTGAGCGTCCCCGCGACGGTCGTTGGCGCGCGGCAGCGACGGGTGGGGAAGGCTGACCGGGCGGGGCGCACCACGCCGTTGTGGCCTGGGAATGTGTGGAAGGGTGATGTGTGATGGCTGACGGAGTGACGAGATGCTGCATGAACAAGAATGTACAGCCAGGCCCGGGAGCGGTAAGCAATTAGTCCAGGATACATTCGTCTCTTTGTCTGGACCCCCTCTTCTCTGCTGACAAGGCCAATGCTGGTCAGTGGTTTAGGGTGTCCAGAAACAAAATGGGATCCGCACGTGGCAGACAGAGCGATCAATCTCATGCGTAATTAGTCCCTCCGTCTTTTCCCTGAAGGTCCCTTCACGTTTAATTCTAATCCACTATACCCTAAACCCTAATCCACTGGCCGACTGACCCGCGCTGGCCTTGTCAGCGCAATAACAAGGGATCCTGACGGAAAAGACAGGGGGACTAGTATATTTTTCCCGGGAGCAGCGAGGCTCTTTCGGGCTGGGCTGAGGTCCGCGCCGCACATGAATATTGGACTACCGTATGTCGAGGACTGCGTATCGAGTATCGGAATGTCGACGTACATTTCCCTGAAATGTGGTGTCCGCCGTGGAGAAATCGCAATGCCTCTGTCCGCTCGTGGTTTCGTGGCGCCCTGTGCTGCATGCATGGCCGTCAAAAATGAATACCTTCGTTGTGCGCACGCTGGGTGCACGCAACGATTGCTCTTACGCCAGTGCGAGAGGCAGCAAACAAGAGATGTGTACACAGCTTTGCGGGGCATACTTTAATGCTTTGCGCCTTTCAGCTGTATTCATGTTCATACTCCTCAGAGGCAGCACTGATCAGAGACACGGCTTGCTTTCAATTCTCTCAAATGAGTCTTATGTTGTTCTGTCCTGCAGTTGCGTGTGCTTGTGAACGCATTTGGCACAATAGCTTAGAGTGGTTGCCGTCAGGCTCCACATCGAATTTCTTCTCTCATTTTGAGCATTCGTCATGAGACTGCAGCGATCACTAACGGCGTTGAGTCAGGCCAATAGGCACCTGGTCCAAACCAACACCAACCGATTCAGCGTGACGTGTGATGCAGGGGAGGACACCCACAAAACAGCCGTGGACGCGACTTTGAATATTTGGCAAAGGGAGGCTCGGGCCGTCACACAGGCAGCACACTCGCCAAACAGAGCATTGAATCAACGAAAAGATTACATCAAAAATATTCATTGGGCGGGCCCTTGCCCCGCCTCATCAGTCGCATTTTATGTTCCGATAGATCTGCCGCACGAATGTGGATGCGGCAAAGTACCCCACCGCCCCGCAGGACACGCCCAGCCCCAGGCACACCATCAGCGTGTAGCCATAGTAGAAGCACGTCTGCAACAGGCCCGTCATGGTCGTCCTGTATATGAAGTAATACGCCGAGTAGCCAAAGACGTAGGCCGCCGTGGACGCGGACGCCAGGAAGGCCGTCCACTGCCAGTGGTAGTTCTCCGCGTTGAGCAGCACGTAGGTGCCCACTACGGAGACGCACACGGTGGCAATCAGCAGCATGGTCCATACCAGAAGCATGAAGCCGTACACATAGTACACCTTGTAGTTCCAGAAAGACGTCAGGATGAAGTAGAGCTCGATGAAGATGCTGCCGAAGGGCAGCAGGCCTGAGGCGAGGATGATCGCCGGCGGTGTGAGGTGCCAGGGCTTGCAGGGGATGGCAGAGGGAATGCGCTTGACACGGCATGGAGTGGACGGAATGCCCGCCCAATTGCGTCCCAGCACAGTGCCTGCCAGGCAGAGCGGCAGGGATATGCCAGCCCACAGGAGCAGCACCAGGACGATGGACCCAAAGGGCACGGCGGAGAGGGAGTGGTAGGCGATGGCGATGGTGTTGAGGACAAAGGCGATGAGGAAGAGGGCGCCCGGGAAGAGGCAGGCCGTGAGGACCATGGTGCGGATCCAGGCTGTGCCGCCATGGCGGGCGTAGAAGCCGCCGCTGGTGTAGCCACCGATGAGGGAGGTGATGGTGTAGCAGGCGATGAGGGAGGTTAGGATGGTGCCACGGGACTCGAAGAGGGTGCCTGTGGCAAGTGAGGTGAGTGGAGATTGTTCATCAGACACAACAGAAACAAGCATTTCAGAAATGCAACAGAAGTACTAAACGGCAATGAGTGCTGAGGCAGCTAAAAGCACGATGATGAAAATACGGTGGATAAAACCAGTAAAGTATTGTGCAGAAGGGAGAAATGCTTGGATGCCACAAGAGAAACAAGTACTGGCAATATGGCATCGGTTGGAGGACAGGAGCAGTTGCGGCCATGAGCAAGTCATTATCTGAGAGATACCGCACATTGGTGGAGCACATCACAAAGCATACTGTTCAGGATGTGCACCAGGTACGGCTTGTGTCCCTTGAATGAGTCTTCAATTGCACAGCCCAATTCAATCCCATCCCCAGAAAATTCAGCGTCAACTAAGAACAATTAAATGACCCATCCAGAGCTCGTCAAGCCAAAGTCAGAAGTGCACCAGTCTTGCCTGCGATCGTGATCAGCAGGACGAAAAAGAACAGCACGGACAGCTGCACGCCGGTGCCGACGAGTGCTGACAGCAGGGGCAGGCGTGGTGGTGGCCGAAACACATCGCCGTGCACCAGCTTCCAACCAGACTCCTCCGATATCTCTTGCTCCAGTGAGTCCATGTCATTCAGGTCCAGCGTGTACTTTGCGTAGTCCTTTCGCAGCGTGCGCAGCAGGATCATGGCTACCACTCCGATCAGGAAGACCACCATGAGGAAGGAGTTCAGTATGGAGAACCAGTGGATCTGTGACAGTGAAGGGCCAAGTTGTTAATGACAGATACCTTACTGTGTGGGGCAATGTACAGCAAGCGTTTCATTGTTACTCGAATGCACTAGTGTGTGACAAGTATATTCAAGCCACTGACAGAGCGAATGGTGTTCCTTCCGTTCTAAAACTTGAGCTTTGAAGTAATGCTCTGTAGAAAGAAATATGCAAGGGTTGGATAGGCCGCCTGCCCTCATTGCTGCAACACCCTTCATGCATCCTCTACAATTCATGCAAGGCTTCGAGGCAACGGGTGCTGGGTGCTTGATTTTAGTGGTCGCCGACTCACTGCCCAAAATCCCTTAAGGAGACAAAAGCCAGGTCGCTGGCAACCAACGGCATGTTGCAATATCTCCGACAAGGAAAGGTCAACATCCATGGTGATTCCCACAGCATCTCCACTCCAGACACCCAGTGAGTCCAGTGAGTGCAAGGGCAGGGCTTCTTATATTGAAAGAGCCACAATCAAGGTGGATATCAAAAAAAAAAAGAAAGCCTTCGCACATCACATTCACTGGCACCACTGCACTCTGCTTTTAGCAGCAGCAAATTTCTTGACAGTTTCCATTTATTGCAATTCAACATACTTCATACTTCAACATACTACATGCAATTTAGTGTATTTTGATACACTCAGCTCTGTTGTGCCTGGTGTACTTAGTTGCATGTTCATGTACAGTGTTGCATGGCATGTCCCACCAACCCCAACCTTGTGCTCGAAGAAGCCTTGGTCCAAGTAGCGCTCAAACCTGCGGGTGAAGGGGACGTCTGTCTCCACCCAGGACACAGAATATGTGAAATGCAGGTCAACCCCAGGCTGCAGGGGGACCAGATCGTTGCAGCCAAGGGCAACCTCGATTATCTGCAACAAGGCAGTGACAAAACACCGTGAAACTAGCATCGTTGACATGTCTCTTCCTCTATGTTCCAAAGCGTTGTGTAACATTTTGCAATCATTTGCTATATGTGTGCGCTCCACCGAGCTGCACACACTGCACTTGTGCACACTCTCATGGGGCACCTACTCGAGCAAAGTACTCTGAGGCCTTTGCAAAGCATTGATCAATAAACAGTTACATGTGTGGAGTACTGTACCTTCGCATTCTCTTCAAAGACCAACTACGATTCATAAATACACAAAATAGCATTTCCACCTCACTGCTGTGTTAGGGCAGCAACGTCGTACACATGGTGACCCCAGCACTGCATGCAGGAGATTTTGGTTTTGCCATACTGTGCTTCAAAACTGTATTTCCTGGGGTTGCCTAGAGTGAGGCATTGCCTCCTGAGATGCAACATGATCAATACCAGAACGTCACAGAACTGTGACTAACAACTTGGGATCAACAAAGGACAACACAGAGGCCACTGCACACTTTGAGGACAGCAACGTGTTGCAGACGTTGACCACTGAGCTATCTGTCTACATTCAGACTCGTGAATGAAGTTACAGTATGGCGGAAGCAACAACAGGGGAGCAGTGCAGATCTGACGCAACATGTAGCCATGTGCCTTCATTTGAAAAAATGGAATAGTTGCACCATCTGGTGGACTTCTGGGCGTTTCAATTCTTGCAGTTTGCATCAATGTCGATCTGGCCAGCGCACAACCTAGACAGGTCACCAGTTGGCCATGCATGTGATGAGCTCATCCCCAATAGGACAGTGTCCTACAGATTCAATCATTTCGTGAAGCATGCACACTCTCCAAGTAGGGAGCAATGCCATGCTATCCCTTCCTCATTGTACATATCTCTGTGCAAAATGGACCCTTGTCCAACTGACACAAAAAGTAAAAATAATTACAAAAAAAAATTGTGCAAATACATATATGCAGAATGCAATGGGGGTGGTGAATGTCAGGCTACCGCAAAGCAATGTCAGAGCTGTTAGTCAAAACATTGGCCACACAACATGATCATCTGTGGTCGAACCTTAGGACCTCTTCATCGTTTTTCTCAGCTTAGAAAATTAACGTACTTCCTGGAGCTCACTCAGGAGGGTGCTGTTCGCCTTTTTATCCATTGGTTTCTGACCATTTTTGAAATCAGACAACCAGAGATGCAAAAGACGTTCTGGCATGACTCTTACTCAGAATGCGAAAATCGCAGGGGAGAATCTTCCACCATCTTCTGAAATCTGTACAACACTTTCACTTGAAAAGATTCTTGCTCATTAAGGTGCTGTCCACTGTATGCCACTTTCTCAGCACTAAACCAGTTCTGCTGAATCTAGCGAGAAGTTTCGGCCTACCCTGTCCTTATTGTAGCCAATGCGAAAGTCCTTGTGCAAATAGATCTGCTCCTGGCTCTTGCCTGACTCCGGGGAGCGCCGTGCCTCCCCGACAAAACCCCACATTGGCAGCTCATCGACGAACATCTCATACCAGTAGCGATCGCGGACAGCCCTCTGTAGCCGTTCGGCTTGATTCCCATCCAATGGCTGGCTGCAAAATTCTGTCTTGGTGATGTTCTCTGCCCAGTGGCCACAACAGGATCATCAGGACTTGAGACCCTATCCTCACTCCCGCTTGTGGCACAATGCAGCAAGCGGGGCTGCTTGGTAATGGGCAGTGCCAGAAACACTTTGGCAGGGAACATTGATGTATGTGAACGATACCTTGCATTGCCTGATGGCCCAAAAGGCAAATATCGGCTATGCTTTGATACGTGCAGTCCGCGTGCTCACAACTCACGCCACAGCCGTGTCAGGTCTCAAGCCCCATCAAAACAAGCACCATAATTGCTGAATTTAAAGAAAAAGAAAAACATAGATAAAAATTGGAAAAAATATAGAAAAAATTAGGACAATGTTAGACAAAAATTTAGAGGTCTGGCACAGGGCGTCGACTAGTATGCAAGATTGTGTACTGACAATTGATTAGCGCAGCCGAACTACTGTATTGGGATAGGCCCAAAAGGGGTCCATGCAACACCTGGTGCCAAACTTGTTTGCGCATCCCTTCAGCAAATCATTCCGTTTCTGGTACCTCTGTGAACATTAACCAGACAATGCCACAATGCAACACCGGCATTTCGACTTCGCTCCATCATCCGATCATAGAATGCCCCACAGAAGGAGACTGCTTTGGGAGCTGCAACCGCAAGGGGAAGACATGAACAACTTCAGCAGGTGTTCACCTCTGAATTTAATCGCCAGGCCACTGTTCACAAGCTCGTTGCCCTCCAACACCTCGCCTAGGTTCCCCCAGTTGCGCTCCTTTCCACTCTTTGGGACAGGCCGGCAGAACGGCAGGTAGAAATAGTTGTAGGTTTCTTGGGGGTTGTTGTAGGGGCCGATCTTGTTGACCCACAGTATGACAGGCTCGCCAATTTTGTACTGCAGAACAAATTCAAGCAAATGGGGTGTCAGGAATTGTGTGAGCACAGTGGGCCCGAGCGTTAGGGGAGCAAAACACTAATTTTGCGTGGCAATGCAGCGCCCTGTTTCACCACATGTTGGCACATGTCTGCATGCCAAGGGTTACACATCCCAATCTACTTCCCCTTGACAGCGGCGCTCAGTTAAATTGGAGGATAACTTCATGCTAAGGTCAAGGGTGGCTGGGTGGTGGGTGGGATATGGTAGGACACGGTGGGATAGTCAAGTCCTGCAATGAGCTTGTGGTGCTATCAGAGACTTACACAGATAGACACAGTTAGACGGCACTGCCCATATTTAGGGCATGATGGTGGGAATTGTGAAACTGTTGCAGATACAACTGCACAAGGTAGAGGCGTTAAACTCTGTCACATTGATACTGTGTTTATCCTTCTCAACAAGACTTAACAGCAAGAACCATGCACCTAGAGTTATGCACTTGATGAGATGGATTCTCCAAAGGATACCAGGGACATATCATCAATGATATGATATCAAGGGTCAATTTCACTCGATTAAGATTGCTTGGGCAATTGAAACATTGCGATCTGGCTTGGTTTCTGATCTGCCAGTCTCCTCCCCCCTCTCCTTCCCTGTTCCTCTTTTTGCTTTGATATTGTGCGTTCATGTCAATGCGATCAATCTTTCAGGAGCAACACACACGCATGCACACCCAGCATGGGGACACCTAAGGGTACCTAAGGGCAATGGGTCCGCCTGTGTGCTATTTTCTTTTTTTTTCTTTCCTTTTGGATTCCAATCATCGGTTCTACAAGGAACCCTCTAGCTCTCCATTTCCCCTGACCAGCAGACTACTAGGTTCAGTGAATGGACATTGCAAATGTGGCTGACGGCCTGTCACATTGCCCAAGATAGCGTCACTGCTCAGAAGAACCTTCCGAATGTACAAACAAGACAACCCACACAGACATTGGTCTCTCTGTACAATTCTACCTTTTCTTTGGTTTCAGGTAGGCTGTGCAGATTGGTGGCAAACTGGTGCCATTTGGTGATTTGAGCTCACCAGAGACACATGCCTTGACCAGCGTGTCGTTCTTCGCATTGCTGCAATGGATGCATTCACTCAGGTGGGCAGTTCTGGCCTTGTTCAGGAGATGAAAGCTCAGGTTGTGGGCATTGCATTGGCCAGCGCCGACAGAGACTCAATGCGACTTACTGACCTATTTCAATCTCGCTGTTGCCTTTCTTCAATCTTAGTCTCTCAAATCTCACAATTTCTATTTGCCTGGAAGATGCTGGCATTAGCAGTGCAGACTGAACTATGGAAGCAAGACTATGCACACATTGTTGAGCTTCTAACGAGAGTTTCTAACTAGAGCTTCTAACTAGAGCTTCTAACGCAGGGTGAACAGTTCAAGTTTGTGTTGTGAAATTCTTGCAAAAACGTCCTGGGTGGATAAGTACTGGGCTGCCAGACTGAAAGTATCAGAGCAAAGTACTGTGCGGGGATATACCTAGCACTGCTTCAAGAAACAAAATCTGACAGCGCAGGAGGCCGATTTGTGAACGAAAGGCAGGCAGAGTATGCATGACCTTGCCGCGGGTAGTCATCCAAGTTTGTATTCTGCATCGCTTCCTTCAAATCAAAAGAACTCTAACGTTGACTGAAGTTGAGCACTACGAGCCGCAGCAAGCTTCAGCCCAAGGTTCCAGTTCCCATCTATCAACACACGCTCACTATTCTCAGTGTCTCCCACCCAAAGGGCCCTCAAAAACGTCCCATCTTGGCCGACAGCCCTCGGCGTAACCGGCCGGGAACCACAGTTCCATTCTCGCCTTGGGAACGACTAAACTCGCTTTGGAGCCCATTGCATCCGCTATCGCCTTTCACACGCAAGACCTCATCCCATGCATTTCCATCAAATGCAATCACCGAATACAGCAAGGCCCCTCCCGCCCCCCTCCAAGCCCGTCTAACGACGCACCAACTTTCCTGCCCCAGCTCGGATCACGCCACCAGTCGATTTCCCTCCCCCCTTCCCATTCAAATCCGATCGAACCACAACCTGCGCCGATCGGCGTGACGAGACCCACCTGATGCGTGCGCTCGTCCCCAGCGGCCGGCCCCAGCAGCACGATCCACAGCGCAGCGGCCAAGGCCACGCGGACGCCGGGCGCCATGGAGCCACCCGCGGATGCGCCCTTTTTTGCGCCTTTTTCTTGTGCCCGCCTGCCGAGCGGATGGGCTTGGGCTTGGGCAAGTGGAGTCGGAAGGCCGGAGGGCGGCTCCGTCGTTTGTTTGAGCCAGGGGTGGGCGAGGCAGAGGGGTGGCGGATGGGGATGGGACTGCGACTTGGGACAGCGATGCGAGCTTTGTACCCGCACAAGTCGTGGAGCTGCCCAGTGATAGACCGGCACGGAAAAAAATGAATAGAGAAAGGGAAAAAACGGTCAAGATGTTACAACAATGCACTAAGTACATTCCCCCCAGTTGCAATAGAAAGGGCAACTGTGATTACAGCTTACAAGTTGCAGTTCTCAAGGTCACACGAGAAAACCGTGACTGAATGCGACACGCAATCCATTGCGGTCTGCAACGCCAAATATCCGGCACACTGCGAATGAAGTATGTTTAACGATGAGGCCCCAATCGCTAATTGAAGCACGCATGTCCTTCACCGAAAGAGTGGTCGGCGGTCTAATCAACACTTGACTGGACCTATAATTGTGACCTGATCAAGTCACAATTGAAGATTGATGCGAATTTCTCAAGAGGAATCTAAAACCTCAGCAGGTCCCAGGCGCCCCGCTTTCAAGGACAAACACGCGGCAAAACTCCCTGCGAAAAATGGTTCCTGAGACATTGGTACATGTACAAAATACACGAACCACATGCTACACAATACACACGACAGATGCCATCTCCTGCCACTGTTCCACTACGGATGGAGCGCACATGCCTTGCGATCCGCGCCCCCACAAACGGGGGAAAGCAAGAACTGCCCGCGGTGCCCAACCAGCCAAATGCGTAATCCACCACCAGCAGTAGCCACCTTTGCTCGCCAAATGCGCAATCCATCACCAAGTTGTTGGTTGAACCATCCATACTCCACAGCTTAGCGGCTGCCACCAAGCAGCCGCATCACCAGGTGCAGGGTGGACTGCGGCTGGATATGATAGTGCGCCACGGTGTAGTTGGGCTCCAGCTGCTTGCCAGCAAAAATCAACCTCTGTTGGTTGGCTGGGACGCCCTCCTTATCCTGGATCTGGTCCTTGAGTGCCTCGACGGCGGTCTCGGGTGTCACGTTGTTCAGCGTGATGGTCTTTCCCGTCACGGTCTTCACGAAGACCTGGAAGCCTTGGCCGCCGCGCAGGCGCCCCACAAGGCACAGCGTGGACTCCTTCTGGACGTTGCAATCTTGGAGCGTGCGGTCGTCCTCGAGCTGCTTGCCGGCGAGGATGAGGCGCTGCTGGTCAGGGGGTATACCTGCAGGGCGGCGTCCCTGTCTCGATATGTCGCATCATGTTGCTTATCTGACATGTATGTCCAGCTGCATATGTATGCTAGACATGCATTGCTCCAGTCGTTCATCGGCATACTGTATACCGAAAAATTTTCGCGGGAGAAAAATTTTCGCGCACCAACGAGTGCGCAAAAATATTTCTCCGCGAAATTTTTTTCCCCCGAAATACGCGAAAATTTTTCTCTGCGAAAATTTTTCGGTATACAGTACACGGTCCGCCTGCAGTCAACCGCGCCCCCGGCACAATTCTGCAAGCTTGTTGACCAAGTTTAACTTCGACGTAGTGCATCGAAGAGTGCAATTGCATCACCACCAAGTTCATCTGAAGTGGCGATGGGGGCATGAAACTTCTTGTTTCGGACACTCTAAACCCTGAACCACTGACCTACTGACCGGCGTCGGCCTTGTCAGCGGAAGAAGAAGGGATCCTCAAGGAAAAGACAAAGGGACTAGCGTTTTCTCCCACCTACGGCGGATTCCGTGCATCGACGCTCGGCGTCCAGTTGCCACGCGAGAACGCTAGGCACTCGGCAATGTCGGCAAACGCCACCAGCACATAATCCAGCCAACAGCCTGAAACGAAGCCGGCAGGAAGGCACTTCCGCAGGCACGACATGTCGACCGACCAAACCCCTTCCACCCCGTTACGCAGGAAGTAGGACTCCCACAACCACCCAGACCCTGCGATGACCCGGAGGTTCTGAAGCGGCAGCTCGCCCTTGGAACTCCATCAACCAACCGAAACGTTCGCGATCCCAGCCGAGAAAGTTCCCCAGAGTGCTCGTCCGTAACGGTGGGCTACATGGAATTGGCCTCCCGGGAGCAGGAAGACCCGGACAGAATGCGTGTGCTCCCAACGGCTGACCCCTTGAAGTAAGAGCCTGCCCCCCGGTTCGCAAGACAGGACCCCGATGTACCAATTCGCTGTGCGCGCACCACAGGCCTTGAACCGAGACTGTCTCGAGGTCAAACGGTGCGAGGGGACTGATTGGGGACGGAGCAGGCGTTCCGGCGTCGAGGCGACCTCTTGCCCGGGAATGGGACGAATGGCTACCCTTTCGGGCGCCAAGAGATCTGGAGATAGGCGCTGCTGAGCGGATTCACGGGCCCATTAGCGAATAGTCCACCTCGCCTTGCATCACAAGCGGCACAGCGCTCGGGTTGCTGGCCACGTGCCCGTTTCTCCGCATCATCAGTTATCGAGTCATGCCGAAGCGACCAGGAAACAGCACGGCGCGGCGCTTCCAAGGCGCTTGCTTCCAATCCACGAGACACCACACGAAGGCCAACACGAAGGCCTTGCGCGGCCGTCCTGACTTCTGTCAATGATCCCTCTCTTTTTTCCAAATGCAGCCTCCATGGAGCAAGCACTGACGGTGGCCAGCCCGTTTCCGACAGCAGCACGGAAGAGTCAGAGAGCGGCGCGACACGCATCCGTACACGTGACCACTTCTCCATTTCCCCGGCCACGGTTGAATGCCCGTACCGCCGCCCCCACTCCCCCTCGCCGACCCTGGCTCGCGCACCCACCGCCCTTGTCCTGGATCTTCGTCTTCATTTCCGCCACCGTGTTCGCGCCATCGACATCCACGACGATCGTCTTGACCGTCAGATCCTTGACGTAGATCTGCATGGTCAGGGTGGCTTCGCCCGGCCACGGCGAGGGGGCCAGGAGGCAACTAGCAGGTGGACGCTTGGGTTTGGAGGCGGAGCCTGGGGCAGGCGCTGGCCGCTATTTGGATGGAGAAGTCTCTTTTGAGCGCCGGCGCTGCATGAGAAGGTAGTTTGGAATCCAGTTGCGGGCATGAAATTCCGCAGATGGCAGGGGCACCTGATCGGAACTCGTATCCATGATCCTGCTTCCAAATCGAAGTCAACGGAGATGGGCGTGGTCATTCATATTGTCAAGGTGGATAATCAAGTAATTGACATGTCAATGAACGATAATCAGCCACTTGATATGTCAAAGAAAGCCCCGTCAATGAATCATTGAACTAAAATCGAGACCTTGCAATCAACCACTGTGCAGTGGTTGACTGCAAGGTCTCAATTATAGTTCATGGATTCATTGACGGGGCCTTCTTTGGTTTATTTAAAGGGCTGATGGGTGCACCCTTCCTACATTTCGAAAATGTGGCGATAGAGGGACTGGCAATGATCGGCATTCTGGCCAGAGATCAGCAATGCACAAAGCTCTCAGCACATGAACATCCCTGCTTGGCAAGATTGTAGTCCGACACCAAGAGAGGCAGAAGAGGAACTGGAGGCAGGCTGCTCATGGTGACCTATTCTGAGGGTCGGATATCGTGACCTTCAAATTTTGAAGATCGTTCGTACAGAAACTCATGTCAAGCCTCCAATCGACCAATTGTGCATACCACATGATTTGTGGTGGCCATAGAGCTACGTAGTATATACTAGTAGCTATAGTAGCTATAGCTATAATAGTAGCTATACTAGCTATACTAGTAGCTACGTATCTATACTAGTATACTAGTACGCACATACCGTAGAGCCCGCATTGCAGGCAGGACATCTGGGACATTCATCATGCATTCTGGGAAAACGCATAACGGATATTCAAAATTCCCTTGCCACCCAGGCACACTTTTATTTAATGTCCAGTGAGTTCACGGCAAATCTTCGCTTAATGAAACAAGCAGATACTGGTGGTGCAACGCAACAAGGCATCAGCAGAATTTTGGATTCGTAAGCATGCTCGCTATCTCTTGGGAAACCTGGATGCTGCCAAGCTATACCCGGTTTATGAATTTGCTGCCATTTTCCATTCGCTTTTCTCATCAGCAAACGCTAACCAAGTTTATTGGCATTGATGACATTAGAGACGCATGGCACAGAAGAAGCAAAGCCCTGCTGATGGGGGTACACAAAAGCAACTCGTAAGTCAGAACACAATGAATATGAATGCCATGCGGCCATTTCATTGCCAGGTTTTTGCTTGTTCAACATGCCAGAGGGTTAGTGCTAAATGACCAAAACCCCATGCCCATTAATCTACGCGTGTTCGTGTTATATTATACTGCTATACATAATACAAATGTCAAGAATTCGTGCTCTTGACAGTGCCCAAATCAAGTGCCGCCAATATTTCTGACTCATGATATAAATTTCTAAATGATCTCAGTCCTTCCTGGAAACCGCTCATTACCTTTGTGAGGTCTCCGTTCCTGCCTCCCTTAGTAAAGAAGGAGAGAATGTAGCAGATAATGGCACCTTTGTACATCCGGACTGCCCAAACTGAAGTCCATAGCGTTTCACCCCGCAGCAGCAGCCATGGAAATGACGACCGTGCCACGCGAGATACACGGCTGAAGGGTATGTGCATACCCTTCAATGCTGTCCATCGGTGCTGAGGGCGCCGGGTGGGACCCATGGAATGTGGCATTTGAGATCTGCACTTTCATAAACGCCTTTGAGCAGAGAGAAATTAAACTGGAGAAGCGGTACATTTCCTGCAGTTCTGGAACTTTCTATCGCAAGGCAATTGCCCAGCCGATGCCAGGGGAATGGCTTGCGTGGGATTGTTTGTGGCAGTCTGCCTCCGATGGTGGCTTTCTCTAACCAGAAAAACAAGACGTAGCCCTGTTACTCTTGTGCCAGACCTCGGCGACCATTCAGGGCGCTACTGGGCAACCATATGGTAGGTATCAGTGTTGCGAACCCTCGCCCCGGACATATATGGATCGTCTGGCCTATTTCACTCGCTTCCGAATACCCAAGCCCTGGCGCTCTGCAGAGGCTTGCAGGCATCATTGAGCGTTGGCATTAAGAGCTTGCGCAAGCCGGGCACGGACGTCCAGGCCAACGCTTTGGGTCCTCGAATACGTCCTCTACACCAAATCAGAAAGTGGGTGGAAATTGCTCGCTGCGTTTGTCAACCATGGCCATACTTTGGCTGAGACGGCTTTTGTTTTATCTGAATTGTCTTTGGAAGCCTTTGCTCAGACCGCAAACACTGCTTCAGCCTACTATCGCGTTCGATGTATCCTCTTTTCCGCAGCCCCGTGCCCTGGCTACAACTACTTCCTTCCAGAAGTATTTTGTTAGTTTTTCTAACCCATCACCAATGCTCAAGTTCGGGCATTCAGTCAATCCAATGCACGAGCGCCTGGTCGCACTTAACTTATAGACTTCACCTTTACCGCGTCCATACTCAACCTAAGCTACGGCATTTTCGTTCCTCGCCAATTGCAGTACATTGGTGACGTCTCATTCATTCGAGACCAACACATGGAATGATCGCAGCCATCTTCGCCCAATGCCTAGCAAGCCGATGGCCCCCCAACCAGGAAAGCACTTCCGATTCTGGCTGTGGAACATGTGGGATCTGCTCTCTTGCGCTGTATCGCCGCATTTACTTGCTGATTGGAAGCCACCCTTGTCGCTCGCCCATTCGGCGGCGTCTGGAGGCATACGCCGGCCTTAAAGCCGCTCGCCCATGTGCTTCCCCCAAGGTGAGGCAACTGCCTCGGAAAAAGTTTGCCTATCCTGGATATGGAATAGGATACGATGTGCCCCTATATCCAGGATATCGAATATGTATTCGACATATCATTATATATCATATATGATATATAAGGGAGCCATATCCTGCAATATAGCGAGCATAAGTCCGAGGATATGGCCATATCCTGGGATATGGGCGCCCATATCCAGGGATACGGTCATGTCCTGGATATGTATATCCAGTATATGCGACCTGTTTCCGACGTGCCTTCAATGAACGGCTGAACACACTGCAGTTTTGGGTGCTGAGCAAAGAGAGCCGCACTTTGTCGTCACCGTTGCGCAAACCAACTAACTTTTGGGGGTCCAAACTACTTTGAGGTGATTTTGAAGGGGGATACAAAAGCTCGCCATGGTGAGAGGAAAATGCTTACATGGCAAAGAATCTCGTTGAGTAAGCTTTCTCACAGTGGATCGAGGGCGACATGCGGTACGGTTACGTACAAAGGTCATTTCTGAATCTGCGGTATGAGCAAGAGAGGCTCTTCTTCCGACAGACGGCAGCCACCAGCCTTCGCGCAAAAGTGCACAACCGCTGCCCTTCTGGCGGCCTCAGTACGCCGATTATTCCCTATCAGCACCCCCGCAAATGACAATCTCATCCCTCACCCACCCTCACTCCCGCCCAATCACGTGCGACAGGCCACAAACAAAAATCCTGGAACATGTCTTGCAGACGAGCTTGCCCCCGCCGTCGTCTTGGGAGCGCATAGGCGGCCCCCCTTCACCGTTCGAGAGCCGCAACGAACGCATCGACGGGCACACCCAATCCTCCGCCCCCTGTCCCCCCCCCCCCCCCCCTCCTTGTCGCGCATGCCCCGCAGACCCTCGACGTTGCGCTGGGGAACAGCGTCCCGCACGCGGTACAAAATCCATTGCCGCCATCCCGGGCGGGAGTCGGCTGCGGCGGCGCCGGGCACCCGGGGACCAGCGCCATTCCTCTTCCCCCTGGCGACACCACCTGCAGCTCCCCCAGCACGCAGCTCCAGGCGTGGTACTCCGGAATGTCCACCACCGCGTTCCCGTCGCACTTCACCTCCTTCACCGGCCCCGCCGAGCTGCGCCGTGCGCTGCCCCAGTTGTACCTGGGCCGCTGCACCGACGGCTTGACTCGCAGTACCAACCCCGGTGGGATCCTCTCCCCCTCGGCGTCCACCGCCTCCTCGCTGGCCTTGGCGATGAAGGCGTCGTTCTCCGGGAAGTCGATGATGACGTCACCGTCGGCCTGCACCCTTCGAACTATCCCCACGCTCTGCGGCGTGACGTCGCTCCAGCCTAGTCTTCTTAACAGCGGTTGGCGTGCGTTCAAAGGAAATGTATGCGAATTGGCTGCATCAGCACTTGTTGGCCGCTCTGGAAATGTCAACGAAAGGCGCAACAGAAACGCCAAACTGAGTGCAATCGGTTGTCGTCTATTAGAACGTTGGCCACACCTTGCCACTCTTACCAGGTGTTGCCAAAGCACAATACCGCACAGCTGGCGAGCAATGGCACCAACGGAGCGGACCAAGTGATTTGGTCCGATCATACCACAGTTTGAGCTACTGGTACGTACCAGTATATGTACTGGTAGAGTACGTATAGAGTACGTACCAGTATCGCGCATACGCGATTTGCGTCAAAGCAGCGCTGTTTGAAGCAGTTGCAGACTTTGTGCTGAACGGCAACTGCTCTGCCGGTGCACACCTACTTGTCGCAGAAGGCCGGCAGCTCGCTCATGTCGCCCTGGCTGTAGTACTGCCCGGCGCCCGTGAGCCGCGCGATGCCCTGCATGAGCGCGTTGTCCACGTCCCGCCCCATCGACACGCGTAGTCGAGATCACCCGACCCACGCGGCTCTGGTCCCTGCCCCACGGCCCGATCAACTTGGCCATCCTGAGGAACTTCTCCTTGGCCCTCTCCTTCGTCAGACCGTCCTCAATTGGGATGCTATCTGTGAACAGAGTCATGCGGGGGTTCATGCCAACCGTCTTGGAGCCTATCTTCATCTTGTCATTGCGATGGCACCAGATGAGCTATGATGGCATCAATTGTTGCCAAATGGCATCGCCCTTGGCATTGTCAAAATGAGGCTTTCTGCTGGTGCTCCTTGGCTCACGTT